ATTTAGCCTCTAGTGGTAATACCTAATTACAGGCGGTGCGTTAACCACTTAGGGAACGGAGATACAGGTCTCGCTTCCGTATCCTACACGATTAGCGCACTCGGTTGCGCTAGCCCTATAGGAGACGGAAAAATGCGTCCGGCTCAACCACATGCCCAGTAAAACGATATAGCGCTATCTTGTTGTTTCACTTTTATAGATAGATAGGCAACCCAGTCTACATCCATGTCTACATTGCGCGTGCTTGTATATTGAGTTCTTTGCGAGTATTAAGTTAATGTAAACAGACAACGTTACAGACGTAGGTTTCTTAAGTTAAGTTACGCATATTAAGTGGAAGTGAATGAGCTTTAAGGTATTAAAAACACTTAAACACAGAGTGTAAGAATCCGTGTCATTTTTTAAAACCTTAGTAATGTTCATACATACACCACAAATATGATTTATTGACGCAGTGACAGTACATTATAATAACATACCATTTTTGTTCCTGCCATAACGTATGCAGTGATGTAACCGATACATTTTTTCAGTATCTAGGTACCGATACAGATATTCTCTGGTAGATGTATCTGGGTACAGATACCGATACATTTTCCCAAAAGTATCTGGGTACAGATACAGATACATTCAAAAAGTATCTAAGTTACTTCCAGATACTATGTTAAAAAAAAAATTAAATGACAAAAAAAATTTTTTTGGACCTTATAAATAAGCGTGTTAACTATAAAATAAAACTGTTTTGATAAAATTGACGAAATATCCATGAAAAACGGAAATAAATTTTATATTTACGCGCCATATGAAAGCTTACTACAAAATTTGTAGTACAAATTTAAAATAAAATGTATCTTGTATCTAAGGATCTAGATACTTTCAAAAGGATCTAGATACTAAAGTAGATCCTGATTTTTTTAAGTATCTCGATACGTATCTAGGTACATAAAATGTATCTAGATACATGTATCTCGATACATTACATCACTGAACGTATGATAGTATTGAATACAGTGATGGTTAAAAATTAAGTATAAATTTGGAATATACATTGTAAAAGAAGCAATACCTTTACTCACAATTTACCAACACAAAGCCAATAATTATAATTCTTAAACTTTGACACACTTTGCTACAGATATTGAGGAATTAAAAATTTACCAAATTTTCTCGAAATAAAACACTTACTCATTTTGAATTTCCGCACTGGAAGGGCTCTCTAACCTACCTCGGTGGTGGAAAAAAATTAATAATATTTACTAATAGTTATCAGTAATTAATTCAAAATTATTCATTGTTATTAGTAGCTTTTTAATTGATGGTTTCCATCACCAACTTATGACAGTATTTAATACAATGACATTTCTTCTGGGCTTCCAGCGTTATTGTATATTTTTAGAAAAAAAATGTTTTTGAATTCAGTTTTTTCCGAGATACATCAATTTTTGTAAGTAATCTAAAACTAACTTTATATTGAAATGCTTCAAACTAAACCACTTTTCACATAGCTCTGTATGAGTTAGGGATTATGTAGTAACTGAAAAAAATAAACAAAACATATTTGTTGCCCCTACTAGCACTTGATTTTAGATTTATTTGAAAGACAGAACGGTAACCTATTAAAAACACTTAAACACAGAATGTGACAGTACGTGACATTTTTTAAAACCTTAGTAATGTCCATACATACATTAAAAATATGCAGCGGTTACTTTATTGAAGTAGTGACTGTACAATAATAATAAAAACTTACCATTATTCGTTTCAGCCATAACGTATCATACGTTATGGCTGAAACGTTACGTATGACAGTACTTAATACAATTATAGTAAAAAAATAAGAATAAATTAGTAATAAACATTGTAAAAGAAGCAATACCTTTACGCGCAATTTACCAACACGAAGCAAGTAATTATAATTCTTAAACTTTGACTTGTTACTTGATAAAAATTCAACAGATTTTAAGGTGATTGTTTCATTATTTACTAGGGTGCTTTTTTTTCACAACTATTTTTATTTTTTCGCTCCCAACTCAAAATCTTGTTGAAAATGTTCAAGAAAAAATTCCCTGAAAATTTGAGCCCTTAATATTAACTCAAAGTACTCGACCAAAGCGTATAAAGATTTCCCATTTAAAATATACGTTAACTTTGATTATTTTTTTAAATATCTATATCTCAGCCGAATTTTATGCTATTGGATTGTTTCAAAAAGGAATTTACTCGTAATCAAAAGTTCTACAAAAATGCTTTATGTGCCATAGCTGTAATCTGCACCTGTAGGATGGTACGGGTCACTAAATCTTATTTTAGTGAAAAATTATCATATTTTTGAAGATATTTTAAAAGTGACTGAATTTTTTGAAAAAATGTAAAGGACAAACATGTAGAAAATTTAATTTTATTTAAAAAAGGTCCTATCAGTTCAATCGCTAAGATTGATATTTGTTCAGATATAAAGCGTTTACATTGACAATTTATGAAATTTTTAGGATTTTCGTACCAAACTTTTTATAATTGATGATTTTCAATTGTTTATCAGTACAATTTCATGTAATTAAGTTTTTTCTACAGTCGAGTGATTAGAGAAAAATAAATAACTAAAACAATCAAGCATAATAATTATTATTAATAAAATAACATGTATGTAATACAACACATTTTTAGGTTAGATATCTTTTCTCTTTAAAATTATGTAATAATTATGCTTGATTGTTTGAGTTATTTATTTTTCTCTAATCACCCGACTGTAGAAAAAATGCAATTAGATGAAATTTTACTGATAAACAATTGAAAATCATCATTTATAAAAAGTTTGATACAAAAATCCTAAAAATTTCATAAATTGTCAATGTAAACGCTTTATATCTGAACAAATATCAATCTTAGCGATTGAGCTGATAGGACCTTTTTTAAAAAAAATTAAATTTTCTACAAGTTTGTTTTTTACTTTTTTTTCAAAGAATCCAGTCACTTTTGAAATATCTTCAAAAATATGATAATTTTTCACTAAAATAAGATTTAGTGACCTGTACCATCCTACAGCTGCAGATTACAGCTATGGCACATAAAGCATTTTTGTAGAACTTTTGATTACGAGTAAATCCCTTTTTGAAACAATCCAATAGCATAAAATGCAGCTGAGATATAGATATTAAAAAAATAATAATCAAAGTTTACGTGTATTTTAAATGGGAAATCTTTATACGCTTTGTTCGAGTATTATACGCTTTGTTCGAGTATTAAGTATACGCTTTGTTCGAGTATTAAGGGCTCAAATTTTCAGGGAATTTTTTTTTGAACATTTTCAACAAGATTTTGAGTTGGGAGCGAAAAAATAAAAATAGTCGTGAAAAAAAAGCACCCTATTATTTACAGATATTAAAGAATTCAAAATTCTCTAAATTTTGTCGAAATAAAACACTTACTTATTTTGAATTTCCGCGCGCTGGGAGCGCTCTGTAGCCTACTGTGGGAAATGAATGGCATAAAATATGTCACTTTTTAGTAAAACGTGGCGACAATGACAACTCATGTCACATAGTTGAAAAAAGTTCTTTCCCAAACCTTGGTTTTCTGGGTTTAGAATGGTGACAATAAAAATTGTAAATTTAGGGTGTGCTAAAACGTACAAAGGTGTCTTAACTGATTTTCAAATTTGAAATAAATATTACGAAGTGAATTTATAATTACACTGTGCAACACAAAAAATTAACTGGGATCAAATCTGAAAAAATCGAATCTAGGCAACCCCCAAAACAAATCCTTTAAGGGGTTTTACCAGTTTAGCTCGAATAATGGAGATATACATATATATATGTACAGGGTGTTTCTTTTAACTTGAGACAGCTCAATATCTCGAGAAATACGCATTTCACGGAAAAATGACTTAAATAAAAGGTTAATGTGACTAAAGGGGACATTATTTGGTGCTACCGCTAGCCACCCCCTACCCCTCCTTAAGGGTGAAACGGGGGGTAACTTTGGAAAGTCAAATGGAATGACCCGATTTTTTTCACAGAGTTTGGTAGTACATAAAAAAATAAATAACTTTTATTTAAAACTTTTTTCAATTTATCAACAGATGGCGCTGTAATTCAAAATTTAAGAAAAATGAGTTTCCTTGTAAAATGTATTATTTGAAACGTTTGAAAAACAAAAATTAACATTAACAACAATAGTCGGCTATGAAAACAATTTATAACAAATGTTGATTTAATTTTAATTTTTGTTTTTCAAACGTTTCAAATAATACATTTTACAAGGAAACCCCTTTTTCTTAAATTTTGAATTACAGCGCCATCTGTTGATAAATTGAAAAAAACTTTCAAATAAAAGTTATTCATTTTTTTATGTACTACCAAACTCTGTGAAAAAAATCGGGTCATTCCATTTGACTTTCCAAAGTTACCCCCCGTTTCACCCTTAAGGAGGGGTAGGGGGGTGGCTAGCGGTAGCACCAAATAATGTCCCCTTTGGTCACATTAACCTTTTATTTAAGAAATTTTTCCGTGAAATGCGTATTTCTCGAGATATTGAGCTGTCTCAAGTTAAAAGAAACACCCTGTATATCTCCATTATTCGAGCTAAACTAGCAAAACCCCTTTAAAGATTAGTTTTGGGGGTTGCATAGATTCGATTTTTCCACATTTCATCCCAGTTCAAATTGTAAGGTCAAAATTTGTCGCACAGTGTTATTAAACTGTTATTGTAATTATGTTATTTTTAATGGAAAGTACCTATATGAGAACTGGCCAAATACCTCGTCACCGTGCTTTTGTTTCGAGCGTGCTACACAAACAGTCTTATAAGACCTCATCAGTGCCGGATAGCCGTGGTGACACCACGGTGGTGTGTAAGCACAATCAAAATACGATGCCTCAAAACAAAAGCACTGTAGAAGTAGAAAACCATTTTTTGAAACCGTAAAGTTAATGGTTTTATTTAAATAATACTTACTTAGGTATAAATATTTTATATTTCAAAGATATATTTTGTTCTAGATTGCAGGCATTGTTGCCAAATTGCAAAACGCTACCATTTTAAACATTTACCCTGTAAAGGGTAGTTTGCCACCGGCCAGTCTGCACACCTTTGTGAAAAACGACCATAATTTTCCGGGTGCCATTTTGACAGATTACGAAAAAACATTTTCGAATAATTTTTATAATTCAATTTATGATAATTCTTCCAATATCGCCTATAAATATTACAATGTTACGGAGATAGAAAATGGTAAAAATATTCCTAAAAACAGCATTCAAGGTTATATAGTAGATGTGGCAACAGCGCTCGCCAAAAGCGTCTACCAAGAGTTGAAGGGAGAAATATACAGGGGAGACCAAAAACTGGACATTGTTTTGGTGAGTTTTTATTTAAAAAAAACGAGTAAATTGTTTATTTTTGTTTAACGCTGTATATTTTTTATTTAGATCGACGAATTATTACACTGTTACTTGGAAAATCCAAACTGTAGAGTACATCAGGTCATTAAAGTTTCGGTAAGTAAATCGTCTTAAGGTAGTATCTCCATTTGAAGAGTTTGATAAATAAATAACAGTAGGCTGTGACAGTAAATTCAGCGGTCCCAAGGTATTTATTTAATTAATTAACAAATTTAAACTTTCGGCCGAAACGCACAAATTACAAAACTGTTTTTATAAAAAAAAAATTAGAATATTTATTAATTATTATTATAATAAAAGAAGAATATATTTGACAATTTTTTTGCAAAAATAATATAATAATAAATTCCCCACAATTTTATAAAAACAGGTTTGTGATTTATCCCGTCCGTACGCTTGAAATTGCCCCTTTATTAAAAATTAAATTATCATTAAAAACTAAAAACAACATAAAAAGTAAATAAGTAATCCAGACAGCCAAATAGGGCAAAAATAAAGTAAAAATTAATATAAGCAATTTTTTATTCTGCACGTAATTGTGTACACATAATAAAGATTTTATTGGGCAATCAAATAATTTGAGCTCATAAATATTAACTATATGTTAATATTCAAGAAATATATAATATACAGGGTTCCCCGTAATAGACTACCCATTTTATTTTATTAATAAATTCCCTACGAGATAACTAAATAAGTTGTTCTCTATGGGAATATCTTCTATAGTCTTTGGGATTTAAGTTAAGTATTAATCAAGTAGGCGCCTGTCACAAATAAGTTTTAAATTAATAATTTCCTGGAACGTCATTTTTTCAAAGAGAAGTTTGTTAGTTTTCAACAATAATTATTTAAATTATTTAATTTTTTTTGCTTTGAGACATTATTTCAACATCCGTTTGAACTTTCATGGATTACTCAGTCCAACAACGTGTGTTTTGTGTAGAAACTTACATAAGAAGCAATTCAATAGAAGAAGTTAGGCGTGCATTCCGGCGTCAGTTTAATAACAACAATAGGGGTCACGCGCCAAATCGTAAAACTGTTAAGTTATGGGTTCGTCATTGGCGTGAAAATGGTTCTGTACAAAATTTGAAGAAGCCTGGACGTCTAAGAACAGTTCGTACACCAGAAAATATTGAACGAGCTAGAATTGCGTTTACGACTTTACCACTTTTTATCTAATATTGAAAAATGTGTTGAAGTTGGTGGAGGTCATTTAGAAGACGTAATTTTTAAAAGTTAGAATTAAATTAGCCAAATATTTATAAGTTATCAAAAATCCCAAAGAGTTAGCTGTAATTTAGTATAATAAAAAGTTTGTTTTGTTAACTAAAAAAAAATTAATTCAAATGTTAAAATGGGTAGCCTATTATGGGGAACCCTGTATAATTATATATGATAACAAAACGCAAAAATTGTGTTATAATTGGAATATGTTAACTGAGTTTCTATCAAACGTTAAAAAGTTAATGGATACTTTGGAATTAGCATTTTTATAGTATAGTAAAAAAATCTGTTTTTTAAAACGTTGATTATTTACATAACTTTATGCGTTTTTGCAATAATCTCGCTAGTTATGTACACAGAATAATGCAGTAATAATCCAACGTTAAACACTACAAAATAATGTTAATATAGTTGGGTTTTTTAATCATGACCCTCACGTGACATACATATGTAAGGATATAGCTCAGACATTCGTATTGTATTTCCACGCCGCAGGAGCGCTGGGACGTAGCATATAGCGATAAATAAACGTATGTCTAATAATACCACAACAAGAGTTCTTTATGTTTATATTTTTATAATAATGGGATCGACAAAGATAGCTAAATGCACAATGGAATCGACAAAGATAGCTAAATGCACAATGTGGCCCACCCAACCAATCCCTTGTCTATGGTTTACAAAAATTTGACATCCTGTCATCATTGGTGTAGTTGAATTTTCATAATTTGAGTGTGCTTTAAACAGTGTTTAGTTTGTGTTTGGTGTTTTCAGTTAGTTTTTATTATTATTTTAATAAGTTGTTGAGAAAAAATCAGTTATTTTCAGAACTAAACCAACAACCTAAAAATGCCAGGCCAAGTCTTAAATTCCCAATCTAGGGAAATGGTTGCCTCATTATTACATTATTTTACGGCCGAAAAGACCAATTCCTCCTTTAATTCCTTTTGGGGCAGTTACAGAGGTAATTTGTAATGTTAATATGAATTTTGTTATTAACATTACAAACATTATTATAAATATTTTAGCGTGTTGCTGCTGCGTTGAATATCAGCAGTATATTTTTAATTTATGAATTAAAAAAATTATTAAAAAAATTATAAAAAAAAATATTCATATTAAACCGTGCCACAAAGACGATACATTTTCCAGATAAATAACATGGGGTTTCGGCAAGTTTTACATTTATTTTTTTTCTCCCGAACAAGTTAATATATATAGGAAATTGAACGCTGTACAAAAAAGCTCTCTTATAATTTTTCAGTTAGTAATTTTTTCGATTATTTTAATTTGTTTGCAAAATTATCATTATTTTTATAAAAATAAATTGTTAATTTTTGAAAATATGATTTTATTATATTATTGAAAAAGTAAAAATTACTGAAAAGAGATAAGTGAAAATTGACAAGAGATTCCGATAAATTAAATTTTTTTTATTACATTAAAAGAATCTTATACTAGTTTTACTCAAATTTAGTATGTTTACTTTTTTACATAATCTTTTTATTTATGTGAACGTTTACAAAATTTTATACAATATTATGAAATGATATACGCTGTAACTAATGACGTAGAAATTCTTTTAACAATTATTTTTACGAAAAAAAAAATTGTAGTTACGCATGCGCACCAAAGTATGATTTAGTACTTTGACCACAGAAGGCAGTTTATGTTTATGAAACGAGTTGCATACTAAGTATACTTTATCTACGACGAACACAAAGAAGAATTTAAAGCCAATTATATTTGTTAAACATTTTACATTTGTCAAATGTCAACGGAATTAACCTCACTTTTCTCTAATATATAATAAAGCTAATTTCATCCCGTGACTAAAATGCCCAAAAGCCACTACTTATTGCCAACTTCAGCCCGTGACTAAAGCGCCATAAAGTCACAGCTCGTCAATTTAGATGTAGATAATAGTATATTATGTATCAAGTTTGATAAACGCCATTTTATACACGAATTTAATTTAGGCACGAGCGAGCTTGCGAGCGAGTGCTTAAATTAATGAGTGTATAGAAAAGTTTATAAACGAGGTGCATACTATACTTTTTCTACGACAAATACTGATTATTATCTTAAAATGATTTAAATCAAAAATTTGTATAGAGCGCCATCTATGAAACAACAGGGGAAACTGTCAAATGTCACATTTTTACATTTTATAAACACAATTATAAAGGTTATTTATAAATCGAAATGTATCTTGAAAATTGACAGTTTTTCACAGTGAAAGTAAAGGAAATGTTTTATGAGGACTTTATAGTAGAATCCGTGCCCGAATTTAAGTTATAGTTTACTGCCGGCGAAATTAAAAGGTCAGTACAATGTTCATTTAAACTTTTCAAATATTGGAGTTGAGAAACTATTTAAAATTTTTGTATTTTTGTATTGAGATAATAAAATAATTTTCACATTTAGTATTATTTTACAAGAAAGACACTTTATTTTAACGATTGTATGACATATGACAACTGTCAACTAACTTAAAACTAACTTCAGCCCGTGACTAAAAACCTGTTGCTAACTTTAGCCCGTGACTAAAGCGCCGTAAAGCCACAACTTGTCAATGTGTATTTAAAAGGTCACTTAGTGTCATGGAAACATGTACGATAAAGGGCGTTTTAAAGGTGGGAGTAGAAAAATACATTTAACTTATTCGAAAAGGATAATTGGTGTAGCAGAAATGTCTGCATCTCATACTCAAGACTACGAATTTTATTTTGTCGTAAAAATAATTGTTAAAAGAATGTCTACGTCATTAGCTGTACTGAAGGAAAACTTTTTATTGTATAATATTTTATAAAATCGTATAAAATGTTGTAGTTTCACAAAATTAATCGTACTAAAATTAAGTAACACTAGTACCAGATTCGTTAAATGTAATAAAAAAAATTGAATTTATCGGAATCTCTTGTCAATAATTTTACTTATCTCTTTTCAATAATTTTTATTTTTTCAATAATACATTAAAATCAAATATTTTCAAAAATAAAGAATTCATTTTCATAAAAATAATTATTATTATAATTTTGCTGTCAAAGTAAAAAATCGAAAAAATTACTATAAGTTTAACTTTAACCTTAAATAACTTTTAAATCAGTGAATTTATGAAAACATCATAGGAACGCTTTTTTTGTACAACGTTCAATTTCCTATATAGGAAATTACAATATGTGTATTTTATTGCTGTATATTAAATTGCTCGGGAGAAAAAAAATTAAATGTAAAACTTGCCGAAACCCCATGTTATTTAAATGGAAAATGTATCGTCTTTGTGACTCGGTTTAATATGAATAGTTTTTTTATAATTTTTGTAATAATTTTTTTAGGTCATAAACTAAAAATTAAGGGGGCGCTGCGGACAAAAAAAACAAGTTAGTAAATTACGGACACCCTAATGTACACTAAAAGTAATTGAGTAATTCGCCCAAGGTTGTGCTTAAAATGGATTTAATTTTAAATTCAATTTATTTGAAAATAATACTTTTACTATTTGTTGGCCAGTTGACAATGATTTTCCCTATTTAGAAAACTAAATAATTAAAAGTATATACTAATGATTTATATTTTTCCATATTTGATTTTTAATTTATACGTACTTTTAATCAATAAAATGATCGCACCAAGTTTAGAAATAACCGTATATTACTTCATTTTAAACAAAAACATAATATAGGAGACTACTATTTCTAGATATTATTTAGAGAGAGTATTATATTTTTATACATAATATTTTTAGAAAAGCAGATAACACTTAAAACTTTAATCACAAAACATGTATTAACTGCCTCTCTGACAACCATCCGGAAATTTCTTATAGAATTAGGATTTAAGTACAAAAGTTAACAACAGAAGAGCATTGATGGAACGAACTGATATTGATGTAATGAGAATCAACATTTTCAGAAAATACAAGCAAAATAGACATTCTGATTATCCAAGAGAGCTGGT